ATTTCATAAATATTGCACGTGCTCTGAAACGTATTTTGTTGGGAGCTGAACCCGACCATGATGGAGGACATGAGGCTGCCGACGATAGGCTCGCAGATGGCACTGAGACCGCTGCCAGGGCTGGGGGTGTGCAAAGGCGCTGTGTGCTGTCTGTTAGTGTTGCCGACGACACAAATATAAAACTGGGAGACGGGCAGAACAACTCTACTGTGGTTCGTACAGTCTTGTCCAACGTGCAATCGCATCTTGTGTTCAGTGATGAGGCAGCCTCAGAGTTGCCGCTCTGGTTTTATCTCCATCAACCCTTGATATCCCTGAAACGCGCAACTGCAGAACAGTTATACCATCAGTTCCTGTCATGGACATTGTCATTTGCTGGCAAAGTGGGACAGCGTTGGATGTCATGGGGCCTTCCTGCCGACATCTTTCAACATGCACGGCGACATGTGTTCATTCTCGTGACAGACGCTCTCAAGAGCAACGACGCAGTTTTTTATGAGCTGGCCAAGACAGTGCACCGACAATCTGTCACAAGAACGGAACAGCCGGAACAGCGCAGCAAATCGGACCAGCACTTGGCACTGCAGCACCATTGCCTCATACATCAAGTTGCCCTTACCAGAAAGGCTCTGGCCTTAGGCTTTCGTGGCTATTGGTCGACACTGGTCCGGTTTGGGCATTGCTTTGAGTCATTCGGCTTCAGGCAGCGATTCCACGCAGCTATGACCAAGGTGATTTCGGATTCTTTTGACTACATACCGGTAGCAGCCCTTCCGGAAGAAGCGGCTGCGTGGAAAGCTGAGAAGATAAAATGCTTGAGGCTTCATTCCGATCGTTCCCACGCTGGTTCAGCTCACTCCGGTGTCTCAAAACGCTTGAAAGCAAATTTGGCGATCATGTCCAAGGATAACGGCGACCCAAGAAGCAATAGCATCATCCACTGGTGTACTGGGAAAGATTGCTGCCGGGGTGGTAAAGACGAGGCCTTGTCCCACTTGTTTCAGGCGTATGGCCGCAAGTTTTCACACATGTGCGTGCCATTGCTGTACCGTTGGAAGCATGCTACTGAAGCAAACAGCTTCATTGCTGACGGTTTTTTCTGGCATCGGATACTGGTGCGAACGTTGCAAGGCCTTCCCGACACAAGTGGCCAGCTTGCTCAACTTCATACATAAGTCAGCACTTGCTTAAGATGTTTTGTTGGTACAAGATAGTTTGATGTTTGATCATCAAGGTAGAATTTATGCAGATGCAGGTCAGGCCTTCAGGTGGCTCGCGCGTACCGTTATGGTCCAGAAAGTGTTTTTTTAGGTATTACGGTTTGCTGGCGATGCTGCATCTGTGCTGGTGTATATCGCTATATCGTATCGGTATCGGTATATCATATCATGTAATATCAGTATAGACTAGATATTAAGTTACGGTAGCTACTAGGCAGTAGCGAGCAGATGGTGCACCCTGTAAGCAGTGCTGTAGGCCAGGTTGGAACCATTACCGCGCCTGTTTCAGTAGCACAGCTCCCAAATTCAGGTGATGCGGATAGAATTGTTGAAGCTGTGAACGCTTGGGCCGAAGCTTTCCAATCTGGCAGTGCGAGTGCAGACGCAGCTGAGCTGGGCAGGACAGTGGAAGATCTTCTTGAGCAGGATACATCATATGCAGAGCAGAATGCCAAGCGTCTTCGGTTAGTTTGCGACACCTTGGGCACTGGAGACTTCGAAAACAAAGTCAAAATTGTAGATTTCCTGCTAGGGCCCCTGGATGCCATTATCAACAAGATGCTTCGCAGGACCACAGTTCTGAAGCAACTCAGGTTCAACGAAACAAGAAATGGTGAGACGCTGCAGGAGCTGAAAGACTACTCCCGTCTTGTGTTTCTATCTTGGACTTCAGGGACATTGGGCCGCGAGACAATACGTTCTTTCCTGTCCAATCTGCAGTCACTTGACCTGGCCACATTTTGCCATGATTCCGATGATGTGTCGATGAGCTGGACCTGTTTCGAACTGACACTTTTCGCCATGTCAGACGTTTGGCGGCGATGTTGCCATGCAGTCTCAAGTTTTCCATGGATCTTATTTGACTTGAGCAGCTGCAGCGAGTCAGACTTTTGCACGAAGTGGACAGCCTTTCGTGCAACCATGCAGAGATGCCCCGAATGCGTGGATGCAGGCTTCAGTGCTCCCCTTTTGCGTGCGCTTGATGTCGCAGCATTAGACGGCAGAGACAGGCAAGAGCGTGTGAAAGACGTTCAGCAGCTGCTGCTGGACATAGCAACCTTCACCCCTTTGGCGACCGACACTGTGGAGAACTTGCATGGTCAAAACCAGAGCCGCTTGTTTGTTTGGCGGGGGCGGGCACGGGGAAGCCCAGCTGCAGCAGAAATTTCCGTACTTTCAGCACTGGCTTCCGAGCATTTGCACTTGAAGACACTGATCATGCCAGCGACTATGCCAAGCTCATTTCGTATCGCACAGATGCAAAGGAACATCGGTCGCAAACGCAAGGCGGCTGACACTGTGCTTCCACATGCAAAGACTCGGCTTGCAGCGGCCACTTGCGTGGAGCCGCGTCGGCTGTCTGGCTGGAATGTTTTTCTTCGTGAAGGGATGCAGCAATTCAGCAGCACAGAGTTATCCCAGGAGGAGTACAGTGCCCAAAGTAGTGCCCTGGGAAGAAAATGGAGGCTACTCGACCAGGAAGTGCGAGAGAAGTACACCATCAAAGCCAATTATGAGCAGACTTGTCGGGATGAATTGCAAACACGAGCCTTGGCAGCTGGAAGCGGATGGCAGAAGAGCTCCACGGGCTCAGATGTTCCCGTGGGGGATGTGCAGTCTGCAGACTCGCTTTCGACGTCTCAACTTGAAAAGGTTGCAGGCGGGACATGCCTTGACCTTTGCCTGCCCTTTTCGCGTTTCCGTCTAGTCTAGCTGTGGAGAGGTGTTTTTGGATACTTCAGGCTGCGGAGCAAGAAGTATACGGAGCCCAACTGCCCAAATGATAATGGTATAGGTATAGTAATAGACGTAGATAGTGAGTATTCACTGATTCATATTTTTAGTAGAAGAGCAGGTAGTAGCTTATGGTCCGGTTGTAACAAAACATAGCATAGCTTGTCTTTTCGGATGTCTCTGGTCTTGCGTCGGTGTCGGTGCCGGCAAGTAGCAGTATACCTGTATATATACTTATACTTAGCCAAACACTAGCGTACGGTGTAAGTCGGGCATTACGGCATAACTATAACTATGACTATAACTACAACTATAACTATAACTATAACTGTATAAGTTATAAGTTATAAGTTATAAGTTATAAGCTTTAAGTGGTATAAATTCCTACGTATACACTACATACGGTGTACAGAACAAGGTGTATGGCCTAGGCCGTGATGCAAATGCCAGACTCTGCAGGAGAACATTTTTGCAAGAAGATATCGGCCAAGCGTTTGGTGTTGAACGACGAAGAGCACACGGCCGATCCAAGATGGGCGACGTATGGCCTGTCTTTGCAAGACAGACATGGCGCACTTCGCCGAGATCTCATTGATCTCTGCACCCCGCAACCAACAGTGGATGCAGCCGTGCACAATTGCATGCATGCAAATCTCGAGGAGCCAGAAGATGGCTCATTTGCAAATGACAAGGGCATCCCGAGTAGCACTTGTCACAAACTGTTTGGGTATTGCCAGCTGGAGAAATTCCACAATTTTTCGGCCAGGTTTGCCAAGCTGCTTGCAAAGGAAACCGTGCAACGAAAGCTGCCTGCTGGTTCTTTGTTGCGGTTGCAACCCATGCGAGGTGGTTCTGCGCTAGCCATCCCAGATGATCAAGCATTTTTCTTGGGAGTTTTGTGTCAGAAGCCCCTGACACAAGTCTTGGTGAAGGCCTGGCCGGTGACTTCAGAAGGTGGCGCAGTTAGTTTTGCTGTGACAAGCGGCAGCGGCAGAGACATGGATGGAGTCCTCTTGCTTCCACAATTTCACACGTCTTTTGAGATCTTCAGAAACCTGGCTGTTTTGTGCGATGGGGCTGTAGACGGGATTACTGTGGAGATCATTCCTTGCTCCTTTGAGCATCCTTTGAATCAGTGGCAGAGCATGCAGCAGCTGAAGGTTGTCGTTTCATCGCAGCCGCCAAGCACATTTACGTTGCATGCAACCAGAGAGGAGGCCACAACGAGTGCAGCGCAGGTGCAGCTTCCTTTTGGCTTGAAGTTCCCCAAGAAAAAGCGTGCCAAGGCAAAGCCGAAAGCCAGAACAAAGAAGCCAGGCCCAGCTCGTGCCCGAGGGCGTGGCAGAGGGCGACGTCGGCGCACCGGTGAATCAGTTTCCAGCAAGTCGTCAAAGTTAGAGTCTTCTTCAGCAGCTTCTGCAAAACCAGACAATGATGGTTCTGATTCAAGATCCGGTTCAGATGATGGAGCTGATGGAGCTGGAGAAGAGGATGAGGCAGTCGGAACACTTATGATGCCCACAGATGATGCACGGAATGAGGAGAGAGAGCTAGCGCTTGCAGCTGGTGATTTTGAGGAAACGCAGCAGAAGAAAGCAGTCCTGGCTGATGCGCACAGGACAGGTGGATCGTATTTTTCAAAGGAGATAGGTTTCGACGAGGGGTCACTGGCCCCAACCGGGAGGAGCAAATGCCTGCACTGCTCCGGGCCCATCTGTAAAGGTGCACCGCGCTTCTCCTACTTCTGGCATGAAAGAAGACCCTCCAGGTACGTGCACGATACTTGCGTGAGGCGCTTTGTACAGGATGATGTTGCAAAGGAAGAGCAGGCGATCGTGGCAATGAGGCAAATTGTGCGAAGCACACCCGTGCCTGAAGTCAAGTCTGCAGCAGAGCGAGTGTTGTCGGCTCTTTTGCCAGAGGCATCTGCTTCCTCAACGTAGCCGCTCATTGCGAGCCCCTGTCGTGTGTCACAAGCTGATTACGGATGTTGTGCTTATCGTGTGGTACAGTATTCATTGTAGTAATAGTAGGCTACAGGCTAAACATATATAAATAATACGTGTATACGGTGTATATGTCTGCAACTGTCTGTATATTATAAGAGAAAAGATATATGATATATGTATTATATGATATCTAAATAGAGTTGTGATACTATAGACTGCTAAGATACAGATAGACGCCGGTGTGGGGTACGGCGGTTAACATTCAATTCCTCTCCTTCATCTCGTAAGTGGCAGAAGCAGCTTCTGCAACGATGCTCCGTAATTTTGCCAGGGCATGTGGCTACATGATGCAGTGGCAGCTGCGTGCAGATGCAAGTTGATGCACCTCAGCCGTAGCAGAAGTGGCTAAGCCAGACTTCATTTAACGCGCCAGATGAAGTGCATCGTGCAGTGCAAGCAAAGATTGGCTGCGAGGGAGCATGCTTTGATTGCTTTTTGCGAAGCTGAAACCTTTCAGTGCCATGCATCACTGCTTGCATTGAAACTCTGCCCTGGCCAGACTCCTTACGACTATTTCATGCATGGCGAGATCGATGGTGAGGACTTCGGTGTTGCAAAGGTTCCGGAACCGCACCGCTACTATGTCGCACCTGTGCTCATTCGGAAACTTGCCCCAAATTATAGTCATGGGTGGCGACTTACAGATTGTGAGCAACAGAGCAGCTGAGCAAGAATATGATCGATAGTTCAACAGTGCTTCGGACTTTGGAGTGACTCGAAGCATGCTGCATGCTTCAGGAGCCGAGACTATGGAAGTCCACAGTGCCGGCAAAGACTGTACATTTTGGGCGTTCAGAGATGTCTCATGTCGCCTGCAAGCTTTGACAGCCTAGTGAACTTCTTCGACAACTTGTTGCCAGATCAACATGAATATTGTTCGATAGCTCAAATTGTCGCTTGGGTTGCATCGAAGCAACTGCCCCCCATTCGTTGCGGAGCCGAGAGGAAGGACTGGGCCGGGGCAACGAATGATAGCTTTTCGAAGCTCCTCGAGAATTGACTTGTAGGCCACTGTAGGCCCTACATCAAGCCCCAATACGTGTTCCACAACCTTCTTGCTTTATGTCAAGTATGTGTTCACGCTGGACCCTAGTGACTAGTGGAAGCTGTGCAAACCAAAACAATCGTAAATCCACATCTGACATCTTGAACAATTATAGAAACCAAAATCTTGTCAATCTTGAGTCTTGACGGGTGAGCTAGTGTAGACTGTAGACAATGCAGATTTCTTTGTCATTGCTGCTTTCGTACTAGGCATGCGACCTTACTCGCATTTTGAAGATCATATGGCCAGGGGCCACGTGAACCATTCGATTCGGATGGGGCAATTATGATTTGATATTTGTGCCTCGCGTGGTTTTCGGGGAAACCTGACGTGTGGTGCCAGGCGCTGGGCTAGTGGGTTCCGGGGTGCTGGTCTAGTGGAAGCAGCTGAGCTTCGGGCATAGCGTCAACAGCCCCGAAGGGTGCCAGGAACGGTTCGGAACGGTTCCGAACGGTTCCGGCCTCACTTTCCCACCCGACGTGACCACAAAAACATCCTTCCTGTGTTATTCCCGAGGGTACCTGTCGAGTACCTTTTGACTGGAAAAAATGATGCTTTCCTCCAGGACGTGAGAGAGCGGAGCCTGTCCAGCAAGACGAGGGAGGAGATCGATGCGTGGCAGCGTAGATTGAGGATGAGCCCGGGCAACTAGGCATTATGCAGTGGGGCAGCGAGCTGAAGTGCTCGAGACAGGAGCAGTATATGGCGGTAAATCGTTTGTGGGTGTTTGTCTGACTGTGACTGTTTGTCAAGTTCGTTCCCATCTGTTTGTCCTGTCGGAGTGCCTGTCTCTGAGGTGAGCAGCCGTACACAGGGCGGCTTTTAGAAAGCAGCTTGTGTGGGCTAAGCCATCGTGAGCTACAAGTCTTGGACATTTTCTGGAAGTACATCATCTTGGCGCTTTGGCTCATATCATCTCCTTGCCAACCGAGAAGTCAGAAGAAGACGCATAATCTTGGGAGGGTTTTTGTATAGGTGATAGGTGATAGGCGACCTGATAGGTGATAGGTGTAGGTGTAGGTGGCACAAATCCCATAAATGACATAGGTCGACAAATGAACTATCGAATCTAGAACATATCCGGCTATACCATGGTTTAGCTTCCCCATTGTGCTTTCGATGCATTAGATAGACTTGGATACTAAGGTAGGGCAGGGAGTATGAATCTAGTATGAGGCACAGAAACAAAACAGTAGGGAACCGTAGAAACCGTTCC